CACAGGGAAAAACAACAGTAGTCAGAAACTGGAAATAGGGAGGATGCCAAGTTTAAAAGCTTGTGGACTAGTAACTTCATATTTGTATGACTGGTGGTTTATCATTAAGTTTTGTTGAATGGTAAATCTAACAATAATACTCAACCAACAGTTGTACAGAAATACAAATGAGTCAACAAGCGGTCAGAATTGGTACACTCACGATTTTCAGTTTGTGACTACCGTTGTTTTCCCCCTGTAGTCTTCATATACAAACAAACAAACAAAAAACAAAATAAAACAAAATAAAAACAGAACACGAAGAAAAAACCCCAAAACCAGACATATAAAACAATGATAAAACAAAGCAACTCACAAATCATAGGGCTCCTCATAGAGACCCAGCTCGTGTCCCAAGAACTCCGAGTAGAGAGCCCAGCCCTCGGCATAGGCGCTGTACACAGGGAAGTGGAAGGGCACACTGTACAGCCGGCCGTTCATTGGCTGTGCGCGGTACATCGGGATTTCCCAGTGCTTGGAATAGTAGTCTTGGAAGTGGTGGCCTGGGTACGCCTCGTGTAGCGTTAGTGGTAACATGGTGAACGTGGATCTGGAGAGAAAGAGAGTAAATGTAACGTCAGTGATAACATGGTGAATGTAGATCTGGAGAGAAAGAGGGTAAATGTAACGTCAGTGGTAACGTGGTGAAGGTAGATCAAGAGGAAAAAGGGGTAAAATAGTGTCCGCGGTAACGTGGTGAACGTAGATATGGAGAGAATGACTGTAAATGTAACGTCGTCAGTGATAACGTAGTGAACGTAGATCTAGAGGTAAAAGTACAAGTAACGTCAGATATAGAGGAGAGAGAACGATTAAGGTCAATGACCACTTGGTGAACGTGGATCTGAAGAAAAAAAAGGGGGGGGGGGGAAAATAACGTTAGTGGTAACATAATATGGTGAACGTTTATCTGGAGGACAAGAGGGAAAGTAACGAATGTGGTGAACGTAGACCTGTACCGGACAGGGTAATAGTAACACCAGTGGTAACATGTAGAACATGGTTCAAGAGAAAGTGGGCAAAAGTAACGTCAGTGGTAACATGGTGCATGTGGATCTGGAGAAAAGGGGGTAAAAGCAACATCCATAGTGAATGTAGACCTCAAGGGAAAGGGTAAAAATAACGTCAATTGTAACATGATGAATGCATATCTACAGGAAAAAAGAAAGAGTAACATCTATTGTTAAATGGTGAACCTAACCCTACAGGAAAGGGTAAAATAATATCTTTGGTATCGTGGTGAAAGTTGACCCACTGGACAGGGAAAAAGTAACGCCAATAGTAATGGAGACTGTGGCTCTCGAGAATATGGTAAAAGTAACGTCAGTGGTAACGTGATGGATGTAGACATAGAGAGAAGGGGTAAAAGTAACGTCAATGGTAATGAAATGGATTTAAAACCAGAAAACAGATAACAGAGTTGTTTAAAGCATTGTTATAAAACAGGCAACCAATCCATCAAGCAATCGATCCAGTAATTGAGTAACCAATCAATAAATCAACTAAAAAGAAATACCTTTTCCTTGGTTCCTTCAAATTGACGTAGAAGTATCCAACGCCATAGGAACCCCATGGGCCGTCTCTTTCCACGGGAACAACTCTGTAAAAAGTAAGGGCAGATAATCCCGTACGTGCATGAACAAGAAGAAAAGTATAACATGAGTTGATTCCCTTGGTTTCGTTTTGGCGATAGGTTTTCATTGTTATAATTTAATTATTTATCTTTTTTTTTTTCTTCAGTGTGTCAATGGCTGTGTGTATGAATGCGTTAATGGCTGTGTGTATAAATGTGTTACTGTGGGTATGTGTATGAATGTGTAAATGCCTGTGTGTATGAATGTATGGGTCCGGAAGTGAGTAGGCTGGATAGCCTGACTTGATCTTGGTATCGAAATACAATATAAATTATACTGTATAAATCAGTCTACATAAATCAAAGAAATTAAATCACCTTTTTGCTCCAAATGGTATCTTTTCACTGTCAAAGAAACGTGATAATTATAACATTTATCTTAGATTTAATGAAATCTTCGTCTTATGTTTATATTTATTTATTTGAAGAACATTAAGAGGTCAAAGTTCACATTAAACCCGCAGACACAACAAGGTCCCAGAAAGGTCACAGCACAGAACTGCAGACGTACGTGACTGGGGTGATGGAGAAGTTATAGAACATAGTGTCCAGACGAGGAACGATGACGTCATCAAGAAGTGTGCGGTAGCGGATCAGAATCTCTTCCTGGAAGAAAAAAAAAAGGTGGGTCGGGGGAGGGGGGGGGGATGTGGGAAAGAGAAATAGAGTATTTTTTAAAAAGGAGATAATTGTCACGCTATTATTAAAAACCATATTCTTTAAATTCAAAGAGACAGTATTAGCGTAATCCTCTGAGTCCGTGTGTTTGTCTTTGAGTCTGTCTTGAAAAAAAAACTCTTCATGAACACACACATACATGCTCCTAAATATACAGACACATATTCCCTTGCATACTTTGTTTCATCCCTGTATCGTTTTATGCGATAATTTTTCCAACGTTTCATTCACACACACACACACACACACACACT